GAGATCAAAAGATGGGTTTGGATGAAGAAGGCCCTTCGGCCCATTTTTGACCTTACCTTTTCTTCCAGAACACCCACTGTACCCCCCATTACAGCACTGACAATAACCCTCGCATTTAACCCAGCGTCTTCGAGACGTTTCAAAGCGCTTCACAGGATACACTTTGACTGTGCACTTTTGGGGCGAAACACAGGAGCCAATTGCGCACAGCAGTGTCCCCTCCCACAAACACTCGGGGACTGAGCGACTGCATTACTAAGTTATTTTTCATTTATTTTTTGTAGGGATTATTTCCTCCTGAAGGCGATCAGTCAAACGTGACTGACGGGTTCTTACTGACTGCTCGGTAATCAGAGGTGTGTCGAGTCAGGGAATTTGCCTAAGGTTTCACGCTGCCGGGGAATAGAACCCGGAATCCTCAACCAAACCTATTTGTCACGACTATATCGCCCTAATTTTTGCGAATCCCATTTTCTGTTTTGCTCCGTCCCCCAATAATAATAATAGTAATAATCCCCGCGTTGGATACAGCGCCTTATCGCGTCGTCGAGGCATCTCAAAGCGCTTCACGCGATACGCTGCAGAGTGAGTTGACGGTATATTTTGTGGGCGAAACGCGGTGACGCTCTTTAATATTTTTACTGACCAACTTATTCTTACCTGCGAGCGAGAGCTGCGTGCCTGAGACCAATTGTAGGACGGGTATAAATAATAATAATAATAATAATAATAATTCTGGCATTTGATATAGCGCTTTTCACGTCTTCTCAATAAAGTGTGGCGACTGTACCCTGTACATGAACGCGGCAGGGGATTTGCACGCAGCGACGACCCGCAAACCCCATGGAATTAAGTGATCATTTTGGGCAGGGCTCCGGGAGAGAGAGAGAGAGACAGAGAGAGGAACTGCCTTCTCGTTGTGAATGGCGCCGCGGGACTTTTGACCTACGCCGGAACATTAATCCAGGGAACTCCCGAGAGTTACCCAATTCCAGGAAAGTATGAGGTGCGAGTTGGCAGGAGACAATAACGACAACAAGTTACACTTACGGAGCGCCTTTCGCGTCGGGGGGACGTCCCAGGGCGCTGGACCCGTCGGGGGTCGGGACCCGAGCGTGGGCGAGGGGTGGGGTAGGGGGTGGGGGAAGGCGGAGAGGTGGGGAGGGCGACCGAAGGCACGATCGCAGGGAAGGAGGCGAGTGGGGGGTGTGGGGGGGGGGGGAGCGAGGCCAAGGGACCGCGGGATGGGGTTCCAGCTTGGACCACCCTTACCCGTTTAGGGCTTCGGCTTGGAGGGTAACCAGGAGCCGGGTGGTAAGATCCCCTCGCCCGCCAGCGACTGGTCCTGCCTGGGCTGGGCTGCGATCGGCTGGCAGGTGTCATGGCTGAGATGAGCTATCCAAGGAACCCCCCCCGTCCCCCGTCCCCCCCCGTCCCCCAGCCCGGTGACGGATTAGATAGCGAGTAGTTTGATTGCGGACGCGGAGGCAAACGCAGGTGCAGTTCATCGTTGAACCAGATCAACATTTCCAACCATGATCGCTGCAAAAACCGCGTCAAGTCCACCCGATCTGACGCCATCCACCCATCGCTACGCCGGACCCGCGGTTTGCAATCCACGCAGAGCCCCAATGAGAATCCCTCCAAAACCGGAAACAATAATAAATCGGTCATTTTCAACCCGCGACCGTCTGCGGGACGTCGCTGTGCGCAGTCGGCCGCCGCCGCGTTCGCCCACAAATATACAGTCGATTCACTTTACAGTGTGTTCTGTGAAGCGCTTCGGGACGTCCTCCCGACGTGAAAAGCGCTGTATCAAATGCGAGGATTATTATTATTATTATTATAATAACACTGAATGAAAGGCATTCCCAGCTCCAGCGTTACAAGGAAAACCCTCACTCTCTGCACGCACTCCCTCTCACACACACACACACACACCTCTCGCTCTCTCACACACTCCCTCTCACACACACCCTCTCACTCTCTCACACACTCCCTCTCACACACACACCCCTCTCACACACACACACACACCTCTCGCTCTCTCACACACTCCCGCTCACACACACCCTCTCGCTCTCTCACACACTCCCTCACACACTCACCCTCTCGCTCTCTCACGCACCTCTCACTCACACACCCTCTCGCTCTCTCACACACACACCTCGCACACACACACCCTCTCACTCTCTCACACACCCCTCTCACTCACACACCCTCTCGCTCTCTCACACACACCTCTCACACACACACACACACACATCTCTCCCTCTCCCACACGTTCTCTCACACACACACTCTCCCTCGCGCTCTCACATACACACACTTTCACTCTCACACACATCCCTCTCCCTCTCACACAAACACCACTCTCTCACCCACACACACCTCTCACGCACACACACACAATCTCGCTCTCTAACACACTCTCTTACACACACACACCTCTCCCTCTCACACACTCACTCTCTTACACAAACATCACACACACGCACACACACACACTTCTTACACATACCTCTCCCACACATTCTCTTACGCGCACCAGCCTCGCGCACACACTCTCGCTCTCTTACACACACGCGCACCTCTCACACACACTCTCGCTCTCTTACACACACACACACACCTCTCTCTCACACACACACTCTCGCTCTCTTACACACACACACACACCTCTCTCACACACACACACACTCTCGCTCCCTTACACACACACACACCTCTCTCTCACACACACACACACTCGCTCTCTTACACACACACACACCTCTCTCACACACACACACTCTCGCTCTTACACACACACACCTCTCTCACACACACACACACTCTCGCTCTCTTACACACACCTCTCTCACACACACACACACATTCTCGCTCTCTTACACACACACACCTCTCTCACACACACACACTCTCGCTCTTACACACACACACCTCTCTCACACACACACACACACTCTCGCTCTCTTACACACACCTCTCTCACACACACACACACATTCTCGCTCTCTTACACACACACACACCTCTCTCACACACACACACACTCGCTCTCTTACACACACCTCTCTCACACACACACACACTCGCTCTCTTACACACACCTCTCACACACACACACACACACTCTCGCTCTCTTACACACACACACCTCTCTCACACGCACACACACTCTCGCTCTCTTACACACACACACCTCTCTCACACGCACACACTTGCTGTCTCTTACACACATACCTCTCCCTCTCACACACACACACACGCACACTTGCTCTCTCTTACACACACAGCTCTCTCTTACACACACACACACACATGCACACACGCACACTTGCTCTCCCTTACACACACAGCTCTCTCTTACACACACACACACGCGCGCACACTTGCTCTCTCTTGCGCACACATCTCTCCCTCTCCCTCTCTCTCTCACATACACACGAACCTTTACCGTAGCGAATTAAACTGACGAAACGGCCCGACCTGCACCTGGGATCGCCGCCCGATAGCGGTGCTGTTCCCGAGCCACGGACTGATTCCACCCCCTCCCCCCCCGCGCAGTCATCGTTTCACGAGGGAGGGAGGGATGGAGGGAGGGAGGGAGGGAGGGAGGAGCTCCGGCTGATTTCTCCGCTCCTCTGCTCACCGCCAACCCGCAATATTAACGCTAAAACCATGACACCAGCATTGAGACCGCGACCTCAAAGCCCCTCCGTTGCCTCGCTCCTCCCTAACCTCCGGGACCCGCTAACCCCACATCAACCTGTCCGCTGCCCCCCCCCCCCCCCCCGCTCAGTGGGCTATTATTATTATAATTATATTATAATTATTATTATTATTACATCCACCGCATTCCCCTCGTCTACTCCTTCTTGTTACCCCTTCGAAGAGTTCAATGAGGTTGGTCGAGCCCGACCGTCCGGTTTGAAATTCCTTCCGCTCGTGGGAACGCACACCCCGACGTATTCTCATCGCCGAGTCCCCGTCGGTGGGGCCGCCTCAAAGCGCTTCGCGGGGTTTTACTGCCGAGCGAAGCGACTGCGCGTGCTTGCAGGCAGACGCGGCAGCACGATCGGTGCAACGCGACGACCGTCCCCCCCCCCCCCAGGCGGCCGCGAAGTTAGCGGCCGATTTTATTCGGGGGGGGAATCGTCGGCCAGGAAACCGAGAGACAGAGAGAGAGAGAGAGAGAGAGAAAATCCCTCCAAAACCAAAAACAATAATAAAATCGGTCATTTTCAATCCGCGACTGTTTGTGGGACATTGCTGTGCGCAATCGGCCGCCGCGTTCGCCCACAAATATAGTCAATTCACTTTACAGTGTGTTCTGCGAAGCGCTTCGGGACGTCCTCCCGACGTGAAAAGCGCTCTATCAAATGCGAGGATTATTATTATTATTATTATTAAGAGATTTTTGGGGTGTGGTGGGGGTGGGGGGGGGTCAGAGCCTGGTGGCGGTTGGTGGTGGTGGTGGGTGGGGGGTGAGGGCATAAGTTAAAATACTGTATAATAATAATAATACCAAATCTTTGGGCTACAAACGTACACAATAATATTAATTGTGATGTACACTTATAGCCCAAAAGTTATTTTTTTTTACTCCCCCCCCCCCACCCCCAAAAAAAAATATTTTTGTTGCTGCAACCACCACAAAATGATGTGCGTCGGGGGCGCCTTTCGGGCCGGAGGGACGTCCCACAGCAGAAACATGTTAAGCATTGAGGCAAATAATAATAATAGGTTTAAACAGCTCTTGGGCTGCAAACATACATCATAATCATCATTGTAGCCCAAAGCCGCCCAAACAGGAGCGCAAAAGTAGCCCAACGCCGGGGCCCGGTCCCCAAACCGCCCGGTTGGGCGTGAAACCCGCCCAAACGGGCGGGAGAACCGCCCAATCGCCGTTACGTCCCGCCCGATTGCCGCGAAACCCGCCCAATCCGCCCGCAATGGTCGCCAGGTTCTCCCACCGAATCCCCGGCCTCACGTACCTGAGTTACCGGCGTCCCCCCCCCCCCGCCGCCGCCGCCGCCGTCTGGACCCGAGTCCCCTCACCACCGACCTCCCGTCTCCGGCCGCCGCCTCACACAGCCCACCGGAAGCGGCGCGCTGTCTGACCCCTCCCCTTCCTCCCCTGACCGCCAATCACAGCGCGGGTGAGGGGCGGGACTTGTGCGTGGGGGCGGGGCAGGCAGGAGGCTTTGATTGACAGCTCCCGGGCCACGCGGGTGATTGACAGCAGAGCGATGCAGCGAGTCTGTGCAGGTTGCAACGCAGCTGCAACAGAGCGATGCAGCGAGTCTGTGCAGGTTGCAACTCAACTGCAACACAGCGATGCAGCGAGTCTGTGCAGGGCTGCCAACCCAACTCAACTGCAACAGAGTGATGCAGCAAATCTGTGCAGGTTGCAGCTCAACTGCAACACAACGATGCAGTGAGTCTGTGCGGGGCTGCCAACCCTACTGCAACTGCAACTGAGCGATGCAGTGAGTCTGTGCAGGTTGCAACTCAACTGCAACACAGCAATGCAGCGAGTCTGTGCAGGGCGGCCAACCGAACTGCAACAGAGCGATGCAGCGAGTCTGTGCAGGGCTGCCAACCCAACTGCAACTGCAACAGAGCGATGCAGCGAGTCTGTGCAGGGCTGCCAACCCAACTGCAACTGCAGCAGAGCGATGTAGGTTTTTTTTCCGACACACGAAGAATAACGGTCTTGTGGAAAGAATCGGCAGAGAAGGCACTCGAAGCAAACCAACAACTTGCATTTACATATAGTGTCCTTCTGGCTGGATGGCGTCTCGGAGCGCTTAAGCAGATATAATAACAATAATAATAATCCTTACATTTGATACAGTGCCTTATCACGTCGTCGAGACGTCTCAAAGCGCTTCACAGAATATACTGTAAAATGAATTGACTGCATATTTGGGCAAATGGCAGCAGCCAACTGCGCACAGCAGCGTTCCCATAAACAGCCGTGGATTGAAGTGACCAATTTATTATTGTTTTCTTTCTTGAGGGATTATTATCAGGCGCGTGTGCGGAGTAAGGAAACTTGCCCGAGGTTTCTCCCTGCCGGGAATCGAACCCGGGTCTCTCGCTTGTAAGGTGAGCGCTCTAACCGCTGAGCTACAGGACTCCACCTTGAAACCGCTCCCAGTCCCCCCCCAAAAAAACGATAGTTTAAATCCGAGAAATGAGTCCGTTTTCATTCTTTTTAATTGCAGGATTGGACAAGTGCACACGATTGCATTATTTGAATGTTTCCTCGATTGTGACGTTGGACAGGACGCATCATCAGAGACTGAAATAAAGTATGTTATCGCAAGAAGTTCGCATGACTGAAAAATCAACGTCAAAACATCTGGCTTGATTGTAGGTGAAGCAGTGATTCATACGTCACTGTAATAATAATAACCCTCGCATTTGATAACAGCGCCTTATCGCGTCTTCGAGACGTCTCAAAGATTATATTGCAAAGTGAATTGACTGTATACTTTGCGGGCGAAACACGGTGCGCAGCGGCGTCCCCACAAACAGTCGTGGATGAAGCGACCAAATTATTATTAATATTATTTATTTATTTTGAAGGGATGGCTACCCGCAGAAAAGTTGGTTCCCATTTTGCCACTATAAATTGCCGCATTTTGTCCTCAAATACAGTCAATTCACTTTACAGTATATTCTGTGAAGCGCTTTGAGACGTCTCGAAGACATGAAAGCGCTATATCGAATGCGAGGATTATCATTATATGTCCGCAATTAAGATCAAATCAAAGTTTCAAACAAAGAAAGTTTTTTTTTACAAACAAAAGTGTACAAACTGCTCGGGTTATATATTGCACAAGTATAGGAGGTCCAGAAGAAAACAACCGCAAAATGCACTGACCTTCTCCTGCAATAGTAATATAGCTCGATACGAAAAAAAAGCCCCACCGCACATACCCACAGTTCCCCACCAGGGAAACACGATTCGTATTAAAGGTTCTGACAAAAGCTCATCAACCTGAAATGTTGACTCACTTTCTTTCCTCTCTCCATAGACGCTGCCTGACCCGCTGAGCCTTCCCAGCGACTGCTTGTTTATATTTCAGATTTCCAGCATCCGCAGTATTTTGCTTTGTGCCTTTATCCCATCGAAGAGAGTGCGGAGCAGACGAACTGATAAGCCCATTTGGAGAGAAGCATTAGTGCAGACTTGATGGGCTGTCACTGTACTGAAACGTTCTAGGATTCGGTGAAACTATCTCCTGTGCGGGGAGGTAGGTGGCGTTTCTGTCCTCGCTGAAACCAATTGAACCCCATTCAATCCTTTCTTCCTGTGCATTCCGCGTCTCTCTCTCTCTCTCTCTCTCTCATCAGTCATTCTTTTAAGCTTGTCATCAACCAACCCACCCATCCACCATTTTCAATCGATCAATCAGCAGCAACTTATGATTAAACATTTCGATTTGGATCAGTAATAGACGCATTTACATATTATTATATATATTATATATCATACTCACTGCTAGGCCCATATAAACCCCGATCATTTCTGCTTTAGCGAATATAATACATAAAATTGCCCAATTATTCTCATTGACGCGCTTGTGGAAAAATCTATTAGACGTGCTGTTCTGAGGTAGGATTGAAGAGTCCAGGTTACTTATTGCTCTCTGTGAGGAAGGTCCAAATGAGTTTGTTGACCACTTCAGGCTGATCCTGTTGGACCCAGTGACTGGCGCCAGGCACGACCTTAAGTCGAAATGTGTTCTGTACGTACTGCTCCATGAACTCAGTCATCCCCACCTCCAGGGCTCCATCTTTCTCTCCCCAGATGACCAGGGTGGGCGCCAACACATTGTGGCACTTGGCAGGGACGTTGCTGCAATTGGGAGAGAGGGAAAAGGGGAAAAAGAAGGCAAAAAGATGATGAACGAGAGGCAGATGTGTGGAGTGGAGTCCTGTAGCATAGTGCTGAGCACTCTCGCTCGAGCGAGAGGACCTGGATTTGATTCCCGATCATAGAATCGTATCATACAACACAGAATGAGGCCATTCGGCCCATCGTGTCTACGCTGGGTCTTTGTAAAGAGTCATCCAAATCAACCCCACTCTCCCCCGCGCTCTCCCCATAGCCCTGCAAACTTGTCCTCCCCAAATAATTATCTGCTTCTCTATTAAAAGTTGTTATCGAATCAGTTCCCACCGGCCTTTCAGGCAATGCATTCCAGATCCCAACAACTCGCGGTGTGAAAACATTTCTCCTCACCTCCTCTCTGTTTCTTTTAACCACTATTTTAAATCGGTGTCCTCGGGTTACCGACCCGCCCGCCAGTGGGAATAGTTTCTCCTTGAATTCCCTCATCATTTTGAAAACTTCTATTAAGTCTCCTCTTAACCTTCTCTGGTCCAAGGAGAATAATCCCGGCTTCTCTCGCCTCTCCTAATAACTGAAGTCCCTCATTCCTGGTACTATCCTGGTACATCTCCTTTGTACCCTCTCCAATGCCTTGACATCCTCCTAAAGTGCGGTGCCCAGAACTGAACACAGTCTCGAGCTGAGGCCTAACCAGTGATTTATAAAGATTTTTTAACAGCTTTATCTCCCTGTTCGGCCACCTTCAAAGATTTACTTGTATGAACCTCCAGGTCTCTCTGTTCCTTCACCCCCTTTAAGATTGTACCATCAGCTCATATCGCCTCTCCTCATTCTTCCTCTCAAAATGAATCACTTCGCATTTTTCCACATTAAACTTCATCTGCCACGTGTCGGCCCATTTTACCAGTCTGCCTATGTCCTCTTGCAGTCTGATACTGTCCTCCTCACTACTTATTGCTCAGTAAACAGAAGCGCGTGGGATAAGGAAACTTCCCTAAGGTTTCAAAGACAGACAGGCGGGCAGGCAGACAGCTGACACTGAGGTCTCACATTTCCACACCAAATGGCCCCGGCTTCCCAGTCACAGAGCACGGATCAGATCATGAGCAGCAGTACTCTAAGTCACGGTTAATAAGTAAAAAGATTCGCACCCATAGACGCACACCAGAAACTGGTGACACACCAGAAACTGAGCTAAGCAGTGACGAGCAGTTCAACAGTAATGCAACAGATCGCATATCGGAACATCGGAACAGGATGAGACCATTCAGCCCCTCGAGCCTGTTCTGCCGTTCTATTAGATTATTCTATTAGATCACCTCAACTCTAATTACCTGCCTTTGCACCATATCCCTTGATAGCTTGACCTACAACAACAAGATTACACTTGTATAGCGCCTTTCACGTTGGGAGGATGTCCCGATAGCTTGACCTTACAACAACGAGGGCGAAACGTTGGGCAAGTTTCCGTACTCCACAGGCCCTGTTTACCTCTCAGTAAGTAGGAACCCGGTTGTTAAGGCGAGTGGCGGATTGCTTTTCCGAGGATAACAATTCCTTCAAAGAATATTAATAATTTGCTCCCTCAATCCATGACTGTTTGTGGGACACTTCTGCTACGTTTCGCCCTCAAAATACACAGTCAATTCACTTTACAGTATACTCTGTGAAGCGCTTTGAGACGTCTGGAAGACGTGATAAAGCGCTACATCGAATGCAAGGATTATTACTATATTATTGTTGTTATATTATCTACCAATCTCCGTCTTGACAAGGTGAATGGATCCAGCCATGAGACACAGCCTTTTGTGGAATATCGTCATCATATCAGCTGGAAAGTTGGAGGACGAGAAAGAATCGTCTTGACATTAAGTCAAATCAGCAAAACATTAATACAGTAATGTATTCTTCTGTCTAACAGGAGCTCCAGCGTTACTGTAGCTCATCGAGAGGCTCTAGTGGCACGAGTGGGTACTGTAGTAATAATAATAATAGTAATAATAATCCTTCCATTTGCTGCAGCGCCTTATCCCATTGTTGAGACGTCTCAAAGCGCTTCACAGAAAACGCTGTAAAGTGGTTTGACTGTGTATTTTGTGGGCGAATCACGGCAGCCAATTGCGCGCAGCAGCGTCCCACAAAGTCGTCGATTGAGTGACCGATTCATTACTCTTTTTCGAAGGGATTATTACCCCGGGGATCCGCCAATCGACTAACAGCCAGGTCTTCCTACTTACTGCCGGGTAAACAGAGGCGAGTGGAGTAAGGAAACTCGCCCAGTGTGTGGCCCTGCCCAGGAACTGAACCCAGGTCTCTCGCTTGCGAGGTTTGGACTTTGTCGTCGAGATTACAATACAACTCTCCTCTCATAAAAATACCAAGAACTCCGAGGCTGAGGGGGAAACATATGGCGTTAACCTTTCACGGAGATCAAAGCAGCTCCTAAAACTGCTTTGGCCTAGAAACAATTTCCAACCTGTGAAGTCCTGCTTAGTGGTCAGAGCCCTCGCCTCGCAAGCGAGAGGACCCGGGTTCGATTCCCGGGCGGGTCGGGGCGAAACCTTAGGCAAGTTTCCTCACTCCACACACGCGCACACCTCTGTTTACCCAGCAGTAAGTAGGAACCCGGTTGTTAGTCGAATGGCGAATCCCTTTTCCGGGGAAAATAATCCCTTCAAAAAAAGTAAATAATAATTGGGTCACCCAATCCATGACTGTTTGTACAGTCACTACACTTTACAGTATATTCCGTGAAGCGTTTGGAGGCATCTCGGAGACGTGATAAGGCGCTGCGTCAAGTGCAAGGATTATATTACTATTATTAACATTTCACGAAGATCAAAGCAGCTCCTAAGACAGTCTTGGCCGAGAAACAATTCACAACTGTGGAAGAGTAACAGTCAACCTTTTTGTGCACAAAGCCCACGGGAGATAAATCCCACCTGAAGACATTGCGGTAGTAGTTGAGAGGTCCAGTCAGTGCCCCAGGCTGGGAGAAAGTGTAGACGTAAGCTTCCAACTCTGCTTCCGTCAGTTGGTAGCTCTTGTTCTGGATCCCCATTTTCCGGCTTGTGTATGCTTTCTTGATAGCCTGGGATACAGAGAGAGAAGACAGTCACACCAGAGAAGGGGCACTTCTTCTTTGTCGAAATAAACAGATAAAGATTTGGATTAATAATAATAATAATCCTTGCATTTGATATAGCGCCTTATCACGTATTCGAGACGTCTCGAAGCGCCTCACAGATTGTACTGTAAAGTGTCTTGACTGTAAATTTTGTAGGCGAAACTATTATCTGGTTTAAATCTTGTGTGTGCTGAGCTTTAAGGCGTGCTGGCAGATAAACGTGAGGATTCCTGGCTCGTTCCAATTAGCTGCAGACACAATGGAACCACATTTTCTGAGGAGAAAATCGAAAGAGAGAAAACTGGAAGATTCTACAAAGCCTTAAAATTTCTTAAGACGTTCTTTTGAGATTAGCATTACCGGGTAACGATTACCAGGTAGGATTCGGAACTGGTCCTAACAAAGGATTCACCTGGAAATCGCTGGCAGACAAGGTAAGCTCGGGAAGCCGCGGTGCTTGGAAGAAGAAGATGTAGGTGGACTTGAGGAGCTGGGATGGATGCCGGAACATGTAGTCTGAAACAGAGAGCAAGTGGTCAAACCAACCCATCCGTAGCTTTACACAGAACTAACAATAATAGTAATAATAATAGTCTTTGCATTTGATATCGCACCTTATCACGGCTTTGAGACATCTCAACGCATTTCCCAGATATACTGTAAAGTGTAGTGACTGTATATTTTGTGAATAAAATATGCATTCGGTTATAATTGGTTTTGGAACTCCAGCCCCCAGTGCCTTCGCCGCTTCCTCCCTTTCCTCCTTCAAGGCCGGTCTCAAGACCTTTCTCTTTAACCGTGGCTTCAGCTCCCCTCTCGACTCTCTACCCCCTCCTCGCTCCCTCCCTTCCCTCCCCTCACCATTTCCCCTCTCCTCGCTCCCTCCCTTCCCTCCCCTCACCCTGACCATTTACCCCCATTGCTCGGGTCATGACCCAACTGTCCAGCGCCTTGGGACGTCCTCCTGACGTGAAAGGCGCTCTATAAATTAAATCTTATTGTTGTTGTAATTCTTCAGGAAGACATGAGAAGGCGCTGTATGAAATGCACGGATTATTATTATTATAGTTCGGTTATAATTCAGCCAATTGCACACAGCAGTGTCCAATATAAATCTATAAATCCTCCTCTACTTGCTTTATATAACAACAACAAATGACACTTGTATAGCGCCCTTCACGTCGGAAAGACGTCCTAGGGTGCTGGATAGTCAGGAGTTGGGGGATTTTATAAATAGACTAAATACCACAGCTGAGAGCGAGTACTGAATTTTTCAGCACAGAACAAAAAAAAATAATAATCTTTGCATTTGATATAGTGCCTTATCGTGTCGTTGAGACTTGTCAAAGCGCTTCACAGGGTAAAGACTGTGGGCGAAATGCGGCAGCCAATAGCTCACAGCAGTGTCCCACAAACAGCTGAGTGGACTGACTGACCAAATGATCATTATTTTTTTGGGAGGGATTACTCCCGCCCGGAAAAGCGATCGTCGATCGTAAGGAAACCTGCCTGACGTTAGAGGTGCGCGACAGACGGACAAAACACAAACACAGCGAGAGAGAGAAAAAAATAAGCTCTCGTCAACACTGACGCTCATTGTGGGTCAGTTGGGAGATGAAGGCGATAATAATATGATAATAATAATCCTTGGATTTGATGTAGCGCTTTTCACGCCTTCTAGACGTCTCAAAGCGCTGCACGGAATACGCTGCAAAGTGAATCGACCGTGCAATTTGCGGGCGAAACTTACCTTGGAAGCTCGCTGGGTGAGGAGCATTCAGGATGACCAATCTCTCCACCATCGCCGGATTATAAATCGCAAAGTTCCACGCCAGCACACCACCCCAGTCATGTCCTACCAGAATACAGCTGCGTTGACCTGAAAGGCAAGAAACAACCCCACTTACGTGGCAACGCAAAATTTTGCCCACAAAATACACAGTCACTGCACTTTGCAGCGCATCCTGTGAAGCCCTTTGAAGCGTCTCGAAGACGCGATGGGACGCTGTATCAAACACCAGGACTATTATTATTATTATTCCAAGTGTGGTGACTGTGCGGTGCAGTCTGGCGAAGGGAGCTTTATCAATGCAAGTTGCTGCTGCTGCTGTTGTTGACAGCCTATGTATGTGTTCCAGTAAAATGTGATCCCGGTTTACCTGTCCCCACAGAACACATTATTGGTGTTCCAAGTACTGAAAGTAATATTAAGAACAATCCTTGCATTTGATTGCAGCGCCTAATCACGTCTTTGAGACGTTTCAAAGCCTTCCACGGGATATATTGTGCGCAATTGGTTGCCGCATTTTGCCCACAAAGCATACGGTCAATTCACTTTGCAGTGTGTCCCGTGGAGGGCTTTGGGACGTCTCGAAGACATAAGGTGCTGTATCAAACACGAGGATTATTACTGTATTATAATAATGTATTATAGTTGTGGCCAGAACTGAGCTGCCACTGACCCCAGAACTGAGCTGCTTCATACCTAGAGCTTCAATGACGTCTTTGATGTCTGTCAGCAGATAATCCATCTTGTAGTTCTCCTTTCCTGTGGGGGCATCGGATTCGCCGTAGCCACGCAGGTCCACAGCCACCACACGGTACTCGCTCTTGAACTCACGGAGCTGGTGACGCCATGAGTACCTGTGGTCAGACACCGGGCACGGATCAGCCGCAGAATGGCGGAACAGGTTTCCGCGGCTGAATAGCCCTCTCCGTTCCTGTGTTTGCCGCTGTATCCAGGTGTGTGCAAAATTTGGTCCGTCTTCCCCTTGAGTTTAGAAGGTTGAGGGGCGGCTGATCTGATTGAGGTGTTTAAAATGATAAAAGGATTCGATAGGGTAGCTACAGAGAAACTATAGTGGCCGGGGGGTGGGGGAATCCAGAACAAGGGAGGCTTAAAATCATCTTAAAATCATCGCTCGGGGCCATTTAGGAGTGAAATCGGGAGGCATTTTTTTCACGCAAAGGCACGAGGAAATCTGGAACTCTCTCCCCCGAAAGCTGTGGATTACGGTTGGATCCATTCACATCTTCGAGACAGAGATGTTGGTTAGTTTGAGTGATCAAGGGATACGGGGCAAAGGCAGGTAATTGGAGTTGAAGTCCAGATGGTCTTACAGAACGGTGGAACAGACTCGATGGGCTGAATGGCCTTTTCCTCTTCTTATGAGACTGTTCTATAAGATTATGGCTCATCTGTACCTCAATTCCAATTACCTGCCCTTGCCCCATATCCCTTGATACCCTGACCTAACAAATGTTTGTTAGGTCAGGGTATCAAGGGCTCGAGGGGCCGAATGGTCTACTCCTGTTCCAGTGATGGGTTTCCGCATGTGTCAGGCACCCAGCTGACCAGCGATTGGCGCTGTATAAAGTCAGCTGTTTTGGGGTTTTTGGGGAGGATGCCGTCAGCCTGAAGTCAATGACACCGGTCCCTGGGTGACAGTTGTATTTACCAGAACTCCGGGAAGCCATGCAGGAGCAGCATCAGTGGTTTGGTTCTCTCCCCGGCCGCCACATAGTGAAACCGCAGCCCTGAGTCCTGGAGGCACAGAGCAGACGGTGTGACTCGATCTCTCCCCCTCGTCTACAACAGCAGCTGCTCCATCACTCTCAGTGAGCGATGGATGTAAAATCGCCATTGAGGGTTACAATAAAAATAGCGCTGTTCCACCGACAGCCGTGAAGTGACCACATTATTGCTGCTATTGTTTTTTTTGAAGGGATTATTACCCGCGGAAAAGCGATCCGCCAATTGACTAACAACCGGGTTCTTACTTACTGCTGGGTAAACGGAGGTGTGCGTGTGGCGTAAGCAAACTTGTCTTAGGCTTCGCCCTGACCCGCCTGGGAATCGAATCGCAAAAGTGCTAGAACCACTACATAACAGGACCCCTGCAAGACTTATTTTGTAGGTGATGAATTATAATAGTCCTTGCATTTGATATGGCGCCTTATCATGTTGCTGAGACGTCTCAAAGCGCTTCAACGACAACTTGAGCACTGGACGGGCGGAGCACGACACTGAGCCAAGGGGGAGGGGGAAGTGACCGTGAGTGCGGTCGAAGAGGAAGGTCTTCAGGCGGGACCTGAAGATGGGGAAAGAGGTAGCGGGAGGGGGGGGGACGAGAGAAAGAGTGCAACAAGGTTTGGGGGTCGAGCGACACAGAATAAACTTCAATGTAAATCATTTTACGTGATGACAACACCTCCAACGCACAGCGAGAGGGTTCCCTACTCACTGCTGCGTAAACAGATGTACGTGTGTGTTTGTTATTATGTGTATGTATGTCTTACCTCAATTCCAATTCCATGGCCCCTCCGACCTGCTAACCCCTTATTAACCTGTCCACTCCCTCCGCTCAGGAGGCTCGAGCTCCATGTGCTGCTCCATGTCCCGCCGGGTCCCCCCACCATTGGTAGTCGGGCCTTCAGTCTCTCTGTGCCCACCCCCTGGAACTCCACTCCATATTCACTTCACCTCTCTCCCTTCCTTCAAGGCTCGCCTCTGGCCCTCCTCGGTCACCCTCCTACCCTCCACCATCCCTGATCCCACCCTCCACGCTCGGCTCCTAATCCCTGATTAGTCAATGTCTTGGGACATCCTTCTGACGTCAAAGGCACTTTACAAATGTTACACACATGTGTGTGGATGTATGTGTATATGTGTGGATATTGTATGTATATGTATGTGTGTGTGTGTATATGTATGCGTAAATGTATGTGTATATGTATGTGTATATGTATGTATATGAATGTGTGTGTATGTGTGTATGTATGTGTGTATGTATATGAATGTGTGTGTATGTGTGTGTGTGTATGTGTGTATGTATATGAATGTGCGCGTGTGTATATTGTATGTATGTATATGTATATATGTGTGTGTGTATGTATGTGTGCGTATGTATGGGTGTGTATATTGTATGTGTAAGATTGTGTATGTATGTGTGTGTGTATACTGTATATGTGTGTATATATTGTATATATGTGTGTGTATATTGTATGTATGTGTGTGATTGTATGTATGTGTGTTATTGTATATATGTGTGTATATTGTATGTATGTGTGTGATTGTATGTGTGTGTATATTGTATGTATGTGTATATTGTATGTATGTGTATATTGTATATATGTGTGTATATTGTATGTATGTGTGTGATTGTATGTGTGTGATTGTATGTGTGTGTATATTGTATGTGTGCGTGGAGTCAGGACTGTGGGAGGGGAAGAAACAACAATTCCCAGGAAGCCCCGGGGCAGCGCATGCGCACAGCAGCCGCGGCCTAGTCAGGCGGGAGGCGGTACCTTGGCCCTGAAGTAGCAGCGGGTGCCGAGCGACGGGTCGCTGAGGCAGGAGGGGGGGCTCTGCCGCGCCCGCCACCGGAACACCTCCCGCGGCCTTCTGACGGCTTGGCAGGCCAGGCGCAGCAGCATCAGGCCGCTCATGGCGGCGGTCAGCGAGTAGACGCCGAGCCAGTAAGAGGCGGAGCCAATCAGCAGCGCCGCGCGGCTCGGGAGCAGCAGCCACAGCGACCGACCACCCGCCATTTTGCCGGCACCTGTCTGATTACTCCCCACCTGCGCGCGCTGATTGGCCGCGCGGCTCGTCTCCGTCCCGCCCACACTCCGCGCTGATTGGTCGCCTGGCTCGTCCGTCCCGCCCGTGCTCCACGCTGATTGATCGCCCGGCTCGTCTCCGTCTCGCCCGCACTCCGCGCTGATTGGCCGTCTGGCGTGTCCTTCCCGCCCGCGCTCCGCGCTGATTGGTCGCCTGGGCTCGTCCGTCCCGCCCTCGCTCCGTGCTGATTGACCGCCTGACTCGTCCGTCCCGCCCTCTTCCCGCGCTGATTGGCACACCCGCCCCGTTCGTTCCGCCCCCGCTCCTCCGCCCCGCTCTGATTGGCTCGCCTGCCTGTTACTCCCGCCCTCCCCGCCGCCCCCATTGGCTAGCCTCACGTCAGTCTCTTGGGTCTCCCCGCCTCCCTCGCCCTGATTGGCTGCTCACATCGCTACTCATTAGTCTTCATTGATACAGTATTTTAGTAACAAAAACAACGACGACGACAACAACAACAACAACAACATGACACGTGCGCAGCGCCTTTCACGTCCGGAGGACGTCCCAGGACGCTGGACAGTGACAGCGCTTCAGACCCGAGCTGGGGTCAAGGGCGGGGGTGGGGTGGGGGTGCGGGGGAGAAGGGGGGGAGGGGGGGGAAAGGGGGTTGACCGATGGCGGGACTTGAAGGAGGCTGAGGAGGGGCCGAGGCGGAGTGACTGTGGGGATGGAGTGCCAGAGATTGGGGCCGGAGCGGCTGAAGGCTCTGCCGCCAATGGTGGGGCGGGTGGGTCGGGGGACGTGGAGCGGGTTGGGGGGGTGGGGGCGCGGGCGGGTTGGGGGGGTTAGGAGGTCGCAGAGGTGGGGTGGGGACCAGGATCGTGAACGGGATCCTCTGAAGGATAAGGAGCCAATGGAGTTGGGGGAGAGGGGGTCACGGAGTTTGGTGCGGGAGAGGACACGGGCGGCAGAGTTCTGGATTGCCTGCAGCTGTGGAGGGAGGGGTTGGGAAGGCCGACACGCAGGGGGTTTGCACAGTCGAGCCGGAGGTGATAATAATAACAATAATAATCCTTGCATTTGATATAGCGCTTTTCACGTTATGAACAAGCGTTTCAGTGGCCTGAGGGGTGAGGTAGTGGCGGAGTCGGGCGATTGCTCACTGCGACGTCCCCCACAAAGTCGTGGATTGAGTGACCAAATTATTGGTCACTTTCAAAGCCCTCCATGGCCTTGCTCCCCCCTACAAAACCTAAGACCAGTTTCCTTACTCCACACACACCTCCGTTTACCCAGCAGTAAAGTATTGTAGGGAATGCATCACCCCCCCCCCCCCCCGATCCCCGACCCCCAGCTCGGGTCCGTCACTCCGCCTGTCCAGCGCCTTGGGACGTCCTCCCGACGTGAAAGGCGTGTTACAAACGGAATTTCTGTGGTTGTTTTATGCCGTAAATCAAGAAGTATTCAATGGAGAATAAACCGAAAACACACAACCAACCGATCGAACGCTGACTTACCCAGACTCGTGCGAATGTTCGTGGACGGACGGACGGGCGGACGGACGGGGTGGTGGGGGTGTGGCGCTTCTCTGTGTTCACCGTTGCGTTAAACCAAGGACCCATCCGGTCGTCAGGAAAGACGCCGCGCGCTCTTCGAAAAGTGGCTGAGCCTTCAGGAACTCTCTCCTTCAATTCCTCCGCCCTGTCCCCTCCCTCCCTCCCCACTTTGAAGTCCCGCCTAAAGACCTTCCCTTTTGATCGTACTTACGGTCACCCCCCCACCACCCCCCCCCCCTCCCCCCCTCTCCCTCTAACTCGGTGTCAGACTCCACCACTGTCAAGCGCTCCGGGACACTACCCCGTGTGAAGGGAGCTCTATAAATGCAAGTTGTTGTTGCTGGCGTCCACGCTGGTGTCCCGGCCAACAAACCCTCCGGATAAATTTAGTTCGTGTGACATTGCTCTATGTGCAAATTGGCTGCCGCATTTGCCAACAAAATGCTGCACTATATCCCGTATATCCTGTGAAGCACTTTGAGACGCGGGAGGAACAGGGCAGCCGGTTTGCAAACACAGGGCAACGTCACACCATCGGAGCCGTGATTCAATGCGATCCTTTTCCGTTACGGTTGTAGGAGATCTTTCAATCTCATTTCCCCGACTTTTTCAGTTCAGGTGCAAGGATCATGTTTTTTTTCGGTCTGACACACGCGGACACCCATCGCCGTTGCTTAAGGGCATCCAAACCCAACTGAGAATTAATTCCCCGCATCCCACCGACACCTGGAAATCCCTGAGATAAGATTGTTGGAATGGAATGCGCTCTCTCTCTCTCTCTCTCTGGAGGGACGCGCTCTGCTTACCTAATTCCAGGGAGTATTAGGCGCAGGTTGGGCGAGAGCCAAGGCTTTGAGGGGGGAGCTCAGAGTGTGCGCTGGGGTTAACCGCTGGAGTCTAACCAGCTAAACCCACACACACAGCTTGGCCATGGAGAGCCCTGTCTGGGCCGAGCTTTCCCGCTGCTTGTCCAGCTCGGACCACCCTCCCCGTTCGTCAGGGCTTTGGCTGCGGGGTTAACGGGAGCTGAGGGGGAGGATTCCCTGACCCCCACCCCCCCCCACCCCAGCGACTGGTCCGCACTTGTCACACCAAATTCTCAACGGGATCACATCCATTTCTGTATTCAGTAAAAATGTTTATTTCAACAAGAACCTGCACAAAACCTTAGTAATTCAAGTGGAAAATCTAGGAATTCCCTTCTACAAATAAATGTCTGAAGTGTTTAGTACAAGCATATTCACCGACATAATCAGCAGAGAACTCGTGCATTGGGGTACATTGTATTGTACAAGGTCTTTTTTTTTACATAACAATTTTAAAAAAAAGACTGACTACACCATTTCAATTATTACCGGGTTTACATTGCATTATGATGCGTTAAATCTTTGCAAATTTTTAAAATAGTCCACGAAAGAAAATCATTTAAATAGCGAAGGTGGTCCGTAGGTCACGTCACACACATCGGGGGGGAAGCCGAGCGGAAGGAGAGGGAGTGCGGGGGTGGGGGGCGGGGGGGGCAAGGGGAGGGAAGGAGGGAGGGGAGGTGTGTGTGGTGGGAGGGGAGGGAAAGGCAAAAACATAGGTAAAAATCCGACAACTAACCACTGTATCATCAACGCAACCAACCCACCTTAATCGTGTTCACCATCTTGGGGTGGGGTGGGATGGAGGGGGGGGGGGGGGGGAGAGAGGGTATGGGGGGGGGAAAGAATGCACAATGGAACAAAAATAAAACCACAGTACTCGAAAAATAAAATAAAGAGTATTACAGACTCAAAAGCATAACCTGTAAACACTAGTGTACATCCGAACGTTTTAAAGGCGCTTTGCTGCCCCCCCCACCCCCCCCACCTCCACCCCACCACCAGCATAAAGCTCCTCAAGACGTAAAAACGCTTCGACGTATTATTATTATTATTATTATTATTCCATTCATCTCTAAAACGGACAGGGAATTTGGCAATTCGGAATACACAATCGGTTTGAAACAAATTTTAAAAAAAAAAGGTCTACTGTGTCTATCGTCCTTAATACAAATATTTGTTCTCTGCATACATATAAATTAGATATACTATATTTTTTTTTAACCTCCCCCAAACCCCAACAGTGGTGGCGCGGCGCGGGGCCATTTTAAGCACTTTGAGATCCGTATTGTTTGTGTGTCGTATGTACATAGTGGATTCTGATGGTTTCAAAGGACTCGCTCGTTGTAATAAGACGACAGTAACTACAAAAGACAGTAGGCATTTGAACCCTGAGTGCGGAGGTGGAGCACAAGTACGCAAAGGAAGCTGCTCCGAAGCCTTCAGTGATTACTAATTACTCAAGTGATCCTAAATACTGTACAGTCACACTTGCTCACGGACCTCAGCCGCTCTCGGTTCCCGCCGTCTACTCTTCGAAGCTGCGGGTTTTTAAACAATAAAAAATAATCCTTGCCTCCGATACGGCGCCCGATCACGTTTTCGAGACGTCGCGAAGCTCTTCGCGGAATGGACCGTAAAGTCGACCGACCGCGTCACGCGGGCGAAACGCGGCAGCCAGCCGATTGCGCACAGCGGAGTCCCCCACAAACAGCCCTGGATCGAAGTGACCAAATTATTCTTATCAGTTTTTTTTTGAAGGGATGTAACATTACCCCCCCCGAGGAAAAGAGACCCGCCGGTCGACTAACAACCAGGTTCTTGCTTACTGCCGGGTAAGCAGAGGCTCGCGTGTGCGGAGTAAGGGAACTTGCCAAACGTTTCGCTCTGCCCGGGAATCGAACCTGGGTCCTCTCGCTTGCAAGTGGCGAGCGCTCTAACGCTAGGCTACAAGACTCCACTGAAGCCCGTAGAAGTCTCCCTTGATAACACAAAGGATGAACGGAGAGGGACAGTAAACGAACACTGCATTTTATCGCCAGAACAACTCTACGTAACAAGACCCACACGTCAAGACAATCCCTGCGTTGCGATGCTGAAAACGGCGTCAGGGTGCGTGGCCGCACGCAGGACCACCAGCCACACGGCTTTAACACGGAAACATCCGCCTCCTCTCCTGCCGTGTTGCCTGGTAGCCGGCGACGGTTATAAGATCTATTTGATAATTAAAAGATAATAATCCGTCCATTTTTGGTGCAGCGCCTTATCATGTCATCGGGATGTCTCGCAGCGCTTCACGGGGTACACTGTCCAATGAATCGACCGTGTATTTTCGGGGGGAGAAACGGGGTAAACGGAAACTCTGCAGAAACCCGGCCAGCTCAGCATAACTATTTAAAAACTCATAGGTTTTTATTGGGAGGAAATACTGTTCCCCCTCCTTCCTACCTACAGCCCCAAACCCACCCCGGATAAGTCACGTCCACAGGTATTCAGCACAATCTTGATGCCTACATTTCATACGTCAGGAGTTGAAACAGCTGATAAAAGTCGTTCTTAGGGGTGCCGAGGCCTCTATCATTCTCTCCCACACTCCCCCCCCCAACCCCGATATGACACAGTGCGACATAATAATAATAATAATCCTTGCATTTGATATACCGCCTTATCACGTCTTTGAGACGTCTCAAAGCGCTGCACAGAACATATATTGCGGGCGAAACGCGGCAGCCAACTGCGCGCAGCAGCGACCCCACGAACAGTCGCGGGTCGAGCGGACAGATTATTATTATTATTTTTTGGAGGGATCACTGCCTCCGAAAGCAAATCAACTGCCGGACAACCGGGTTCCCACTTACTGCTAGGTAAACGGAGGTGGGTGCGCGGAGCAAGGAAACTAAATGTTATCGGGACTCCGAAGTTTTTTTTTAAAAAAGAGAAAAAAGAATTCAACTGCGATCGGACAAGTGCCAGAGGAACGCTTGGAAGTTTTTTTTCTTTTTAAGTTCGTCGAATCCTTTGCGTGATTATTGCCGCTGAGGCCGAGCACTGCGCTGATATTATGATCAACCGGAAAGGGAGAAGCTGTTTCCACCGGCGGGCGGGCGGGTGGGGAGGTAACCAGAGGGCATAGATTTGAGATACACTGGCAAAAGAACCAGAGGGGAGAGGAGAATTTTTTTTTAAAACACGAGAGAGTTGTTACGGTCTGGAACGCACTGCCTGAAAGGGCGGCGGGAGCAGATTCAGTAACAGCTTTCCAAAGGGAATCTGGGTAGGTAATAATAATAATTATCCTTGCACTTGACAAAAGGGCCCTTATCAGGTCTTCCGAGACGCCTCAAAAAGCGCTTCGCAGAATAGACTGTAAAGTGTATGTAATTTGGCGGGCGAAACGCGGAAGCCAATCGCGCACTGTCCCACAAACAGTCGGGGATTGAGTGAGTTCGAATCGTTTCAAAAAAAATTTGTATGTGTGTGTGTGTGCGTGGGGGTGTTCCAAGGTGCTTGTCTCACGCATGCACACACACGCGCACACGCAGACACAGACACACACACACACAAACAGCAACACGCTCCCCCCGCCCTCACTTTTCTAACAACGAAGCTACATAAGAAAGAGCTACTCACAGTAACACTGTGTGGTGTGTGCGCTGGTTCCCAGCCGGAGGGTTTCCCACTGGACGGGTTTGTATCAGGAATTCGAACGACGCCACAATCCATCAACACTCACTAGAACTATTTCCGGGTGAAAGACAACACTGCCGCACAACTTCAAAATCAACCTCCTCTTTCTCCTCGCGCCTATCAAGGCGACGGACAAAAAGCCTCTGTCAAATGTGGTGAAAAATCACTCTCATCTCCAGTTCATCGCAGAGACATCCTGTGCTCACTCCAAGTACAGTGTGTGTGTGTGTATATATATATATGTGTGTGTGTGTGTATAATAATAATTTGGTCACTCAATCCACCAGTTTGTGGGGACGCTGCTGCGCGCAATTGTCTGCTGCGTTTCACCCACAAAATACAGTCAATCCACTTTACAGTATATTCTGTGAAGCACTTTGAGACGTCTTGAAGACGTGATAAGGCGCTGTATCGAATGCGAGGAGTATTATTATTATGACAGTGATGATGATGACGACGACAGGGGTCCCATACGGTCTCTGGTTAAGAAAAAGACGCCAGCGGTTGTATAAAAGGTGTTTTATTCAATAATCGATACAGACCAAATGCAAGTTTTTTTTCTGCCTCTTTTAGTAAAACCGACATTAAACCAAGGAGTAGAGCGGTCAGTCCGGGGTCGGGGGGGGGGGTGGGGGGTGGGGGGGAAACTCGACTGCTACTGTATAGTGGGTATTTTGGCACTAAAATATGTTCATCGTCTTTTTTTAAAAAAAAAGAAAAATAGGTTAAAAACAGCTGAAAAAATAAAGTTATATTTAAAGGCAAAGATGAGGAATGGTACATTAATTTAAACTTTGCCACGAGAGAGAGAGAGAGAGAGAGAGCAAAAAAAAAACAATCACACGTTTACGCGGGAGCTGAACGAACGGACGAACGGACGGTAGGAGAGCCTGGATGTTTCCGAGCGAATACGAAATGGGAGAACGGGTTCCATCCACAGAAAAAAAAAAAAAACAGCTTCTATAGTTTGGTACACCCCTCTCTGCGGAAGAGAAAGCCAGTGGGAATCGATGGTTAAAGGGCGAGTGAGCGCAGATGTCCGGGTGAGGAAGACAACACGTTTCTGCTGAGGTGAAGGGAAAGGGAAACGTCCGACATTCTACCAGGAGAGACACTCAACTTAAACAGGTTAAAGATGAGACACCAAATCTACCCACTATACAGCACCGGTTGAGTACGAACTGCACCGCACCTCTGGCTATTTGGTGGAAAAGAAAGTAAAACCTTTTCCGATCTCTTAATAACGTTCAGGGGGACAAATGTACAAGACGACGGTAGTTCATATTCGTATCCATATCTCCTGAGGTAACGGGGGTGGTGGGGTGGGGGGGGGGGGTTGGGTGGGGAGAGAAGAACAGGGACGGGGGTTTTGAGGGGGGGGGGGGAGCGAACAAAAATTCACCTACTTTAGTTGTCAGTCCAGCATTGATCCCAGACACTGCGGGTAAAAAAAAGAAAAATGAACAGAAAAACAAACCGCCCCCTCAAAAACCCCAATAAAAGTAAGAGTTTTATGGTGAGGGGGGGTTGAGGGAGGCGGAACGACCGGGGGAATGGGGTGGGGAGACACAAGACTAGCCATTGAAACCTCCCAACGTACACGTCTTTTTCCCTTTTTCGTGTTTGTATGCCGTCGCGAGCCTCGGGGTGGTGTGGGGTGGGGGGGGGGGGGGGGGGCTCCGTCAGGGCAAAACACACCGAGCGAGCGAGCGAGCTCCAGTTACCGCAGAGTCTGTCCGGGGGATAAACAAAAACCCACAGACTCCACTACGCACTGTGTAGTAAAAAAAAAACCCCTACTGTGAACACAAAGATGCACTGGTTAAATAGTCCGTACAGATTATATAGTTTTAATTCGCTAAGGTGGGCCCACACCCTGCCCAGTTTTCCCCCGGGGGAAAAATTTCCCACTTTTTCCTTTCTTTTCTTTCTTTTCTTTCTTTCTCTCTTTTCTTTCTTTTTTTTTTTAAATAGACCTCGGCGTCACCCTGTTCCTCTCGTTAGTTATCAGACGAGATTGATCCGACGTGATTGATAAGAAACTAAATCAGCACAAAAAAAAACCGTTTCAGAAACAACAGGGGGCAAGTCTGTCTGTGTGTCTGTCTGTCTGTGTCTGTCTGTCTGTCTGTCACGTGGAAACAGACAAACCCTGTGTGAATGGTTAAGAGTCAGAAGCTTTTCCCAAGTGAAGGAGTTTGGTGAGGAAAACCTGGTAGTTAATGGATACCCCTCTTTTCCTCGCCCTCCCCACTCGCCCCTCACATCCCCCCCACCCCTCGCCCACCCCCACACCCGCCCCCCCCCCCCACTCACCCCGGCATAGTAGTATCATTCAGAGGACCGGTTACACTCACGCACGAACACACACGAGCAGGTTTGCGTGCAGAAAAGAGCACGCGCGGTGTGTGTGTGTGTGTGTGTTTTTTTTTGCCTTCCCGAAACTAAATGGAACCTTTTTTTTTTTCCGTCGTCGTCGATGTCTTATTTGTTCATTCCTATATTGTGGGTTAAATGCAAGGCAGACTTCTGTCCATCTCTGTCTGTCCGTCCATCCATCCATCTCAAGGCGGCCTTTTTGACTGAACGATTGACTCACTCACTTGGGGGGTTCACACATGCAGAAAGACCGTGAGGAAGTGGGGGGGGAGGTTGGGGTGGAGGGGGGGGGGTTGGGTGGGGAGGAGGGGACTCTGCTGACAACTACGCTGCCACGTCTTACGCGTGGAAAAAGTTTGGTAGTAACTTTCACGAGTCAGGATCCACATCGGCTCAGAAGAGATTCTCTTCGAATATTGCCATTAAGTCGCTCTGAAAATTCATGTCAATCGTAGCTGCCATCTGTAGCACAGGGAGGACACAGGCGTACGTGTGATTAACAACTTGCATTTGTAATAATAATAATAACAATCCTCGCCTTCGATATAGTGCCCTCGAGACATCTCAAAGCGCTTCACGGAATATACTGTAAAGTGGATTTGACTGTATATTTTGTGGGAGAAACGCGGCAGCCAATTGCGCACGGCAGCGCCCATCAAACGGTCGTGGGCTGAGTGCCCAAATTATTATTTTTTTTGAAGGGATTATGACCCCCCAAAAAAGCGATCCGCCAATCAACTACCAACTGGGTTCCTACTTACTGCCGGGTAAACAGAGGCGTGCGTGTGCGTGGAGTAAGGAAACTTGCCCGAGGTTTCACCGTGACCCGCCCGGGAATCGAACCCGGGTTCCTCTTACCTCGCCAGGCGAACCGCTACTCTACGGGTCTCCGCGACGGGGAACCCCAACCCCTTAAGCGGTTTCCGCGCTCTGAATTCTCGAGAATTTGGCCGCGATCGTCGTTAAAGAGCCCATCGCAGCTGCGCGGGGTTTCGCTGGCCAGACTTACCGCCTCCCTCCGTCTGCGTTCCTGCTCTCTCTTCCGCGCCATTTCTCGCTGCTGATCCAGCATCGACTGGGAGCTGGCCTGGGAGCTCTGCTGTTGTTGCTGCTGCTGCTGCTGCTGCTGCTGCTGTTGTTGTTGTTGTTGTTGCTGCTGCTGCTGCTGCTGTTGCTGTTGATGCTGCTGTTGATGTTGCTGTTGATGTTGCTGTTGATGCTGCTGTTGATGCTCCTGTCGCCTCCTGGCATCCTCGTGTGCCCTCCGAGCGCACTCCAACGCATCCTCCTCGTCCCGACCCCTGCAAACCGGAGGAGTTCGCGGTCAGTACGTCAGCCCCGCCAGATTATTGGGGGCTGCGTTTTTAAACGGGACTTCAGGGAGGCGAGAGAGGGGGTGAGGCGGAGGGATTGCGCGATAGAGTTCCAGAGTGTGGGGACAGAGGTAATAATAATAATCCTTCCATTTGATACAGCGCCTGATCACGTCTTCTGGACGTCTCAAAACACTTCACAGGATACACCGTAAAGTCAATTGACTGTACATTTTGTGGGAGAAACAGCGGCAGCCGATTGCGCACAGCGACGTCCCCACAAACAGCCGTGGATTGAATTGACCAAATTCTTCTTACTTTTTTTGGAAGAGATTATTATTCCTCTGAGATGCTGAGTACCCGACCGCCAATGGTGGGGCGGGAAGTGCGGGGGACGCGAAGCTGAGCTTCGCTCTGCTGCTGAGCGGAGGGAGCAGGCAGGCTGATATGGGGTTAGGAGGTCGGAGAGGTGGTGGTGGTGGTGGGTGGGGGGTGGGGGGAGACAACAACAACAACTTGCATCCCAGAGCGCTTCCTCAAGCAAACATTTAGCCTGAACACATCCCCGAATGCTTCCCTCCATAAACTGCAGGTTATCCTTGTCCTTCATCTCCTCCGCTCCACCATCAGCCGCTACCACCCCGAAACTCTGGGACTCTCTCCCCGAATCCCTCCGCCTCGCCCCCCCCCCCCCCCCCCTCAAAGAGGAGACCACCCACTTCCACCTCCTCCCACCCTCCGGCTCGGGGGGGGCAGACTCCGCTACTGTGAAGCGCGCTGGGTAAATCCAAGTTGTTGTTGGTGTTGGCAGCCTAACACCCGAACTACTGCTGTAGTTCGTCCTGTCCACTGTAAGTAGACCTCTCTTTCCTCCTGTCCCCCCCACCCCTCTCCCCGGTCAAAGTCGAAGACGTGATAAACCGCTATATCAAATGCAAGGATTATATTATAAAGTCATATCAGTTTCGAGAGTAGATTAAGGGAACAGTCCAGGCAGCCGGGATTCCAACCGCAGAGAACATTTAGTCCAAGCTTTGACCTCGAGTCTCCTGATTTAAGACTGTAGAGTCACCAGAGTATGTTTGGAGAAAAAGGGAAGAATTTCTGGAGACGGAGCACTGCGAAGGCAGATCAGACCGTCTAATCTAAGTTGAGCGTGGGAACAAGGGGATTGCAACACTGCCAAAAACAGACAGAGAGAGAGAGAGCTGAGCTTTGGAGACAGCTTTCCAAGGCACGAGACCAGCTGTGGGGAGCAGGAAATGGATCTCATCGAATTTTATGGTCAAATAACCCTTAAAGGATCCTGCTGGTTAATAATAATAATAATAATCCCTGCATTTGATACAGTGCCTTATTACAAAATACAGTCAATTCACGTGACAGTATATTTTGTGAAGCGCTTTAAGACATCTCAAACACGTGATCAAGGCGCTACATCAAATGCAAGGATTATTATTATCACATTTATCGAGACGTACTCAAAGCTCTTCACAGAATATACTGTAAAGTGTAGTGACTGTATATTTTGTGGGCGAAATGCGGCAGCCAATCGCGCGCAGCAGTGTCCCCCACACAAAGTCGTGGATTGAAGTGACCGATCTATTATTATTAATTTTTTTTGGAAGCAATTATTACCCCCGAAAAAGCCATCCTCCAATCGACTAACAAGCGGGTTCCGACTTCCTGCTGAGTAACCAGAGGCGTGTGCGCGAGTGGACTATGGAAAGCCACCTAAGCTTTGGCCCTGACCCGCCCGGGAATCGAACCCGGTGTCCTCTCGCTTGCGAGGCGAGGGCTGGAGCTACAGGAACTCCACGCTGAGCTACGGGACTGCACGAGATGGCGGTAATGGCTGTAGAGGATCTCACCGCTGTCTCTCCTGCTCCATCCGCAAGCGCTCTTTCTCCGCCGCCTCCTGCTGCATTTTACGGATCTCTTCCTGTGCCTTCAGGACCTTCTCCCTCTCCTCCTTTTCCCGCGCTGCTCGTCGGAAGTGTTCGAAACTGTCGCTCGACGATTTCACCGTGGACGAGGGCGTGGAGGGTGTCTTCTTCACCAGACTCGCCCACGACCCCATGTTCTTGATCTTCAGGTCCTGAAGGGGAGGCGCAGAGAAAATGCGCGACTCGAGTTAGAGGGAGGTCGTGATCTAAACCGGTCGAGGGGAGCTAACTGGGAACGAACGCTTGAGACGCTGAACTAAAATATCTGGGGTGGGGGCCCGCTTACCTTTTTGGGAGCGACGGGGGTTTTGGGAGTTTGTTGTTTCGGCTTGTCCTTGTCCTGAGGGGAAGGCTGTGAGCTGTGCTCTGGAGGCCGAATCACAGGCCCAGCACCTTCCATGTGTTTCATCTCCGGTCCTGGAAGAGGAAATTATTATAATAATAATAATAACCTTCGCATTTGATTTAGCGCCTGATCAGGTTTCCCAGACGTCTCTGCCCCCACCCTTTGGAACTCCATCCCGCAGTCCCTTCAACTTGCCCTCTTCCCTCCTTCCAAGGCACGTCTCAAGACCCTCCTCTTCGACCGAGTCTTCGGTCACCCTCCTTCCCTACCCTCCCTGGACTCCTGATCCCAACCCCCAGCTCAGGTCCAAATCCCTGACCGTCCAGCGCCTCGGGACATCCTCTGGATGTGAAAGGCGCCGTGTAAACGTCATTTTGTATTGTATTTGTGTTGTCCTCAAAGCGCTTCACAGGATATACTGTAAAGTGAATTGACTGTATATTTTGTGGGCGAAACGCGGCAGCCAAGTGCTCTAACCCCCTGAGCTACAGGAGTCCATACGAATGATACTTGTATAGCGCTTTTCACGTTGGCTGGACAGCGTAACTCACGGTGTGCAAGGTGTGGAGGCGGCTTGGAGCCCTCCTGACGCTTTGACTGTTCCTGGCGAATCGAGGGGCTGAACGGCTCATTTCGGATAACTGGCGAAGAGTGCGTCTTCTCATCCTTCACGCTGACCATAGGCTGCGATTGCACTATCGAGGGAGTTCGGGGTTCCTGCCACACACACAACCTTGCTTAATAATAACAACAACAACTTGCATTTGTAAAGCGCCCTTCACTATAGAACTCTCTCCCCCCCAAAAGGCTGTGGATTATGGCTGGATCCATTCACGTCTTCAAGACTGAGGTGGAGATGTTTGTTAGGTCGGGGTATTGAGGGATACGGGGCAAAGGCGGGTGATTGGAGTTGAGGTACAGATCAGCCACGATCTTACAGAATGGCAGAACAGGCTCGAGGGGCTGAATGGCCTCCTCCTGTTTCTGTGTTTCATGCGGGATAGTCCCAGAGCGCTTTACAGTGGCTTTGATGCTCAATGCCCAAATAGTGTTAACTACCCTTCCTGGTAACCAGCTGATGTCCAAGTCTGTACAAGGCACTGTTTGTGTGTGTGTGTGTGTGTGTGTGTGTGCATGTGTGGGGGGGGGGGGGGTTAAGGGTCGTCACTTTTACCTGGTTTTTAACCTGTACGTTTCTCGGTGGTGACTGGATAAGAGACGGGAACTGCGAGAGCGGTGGGGAATGCATCAAGAGAGGCGAGGGCACGTCTGTCAAGTGAGCTGAAAAGGTAGAGAGAGCAAAGCTTAAACCCGAAAGACTTATAATAATCCTTGAATTTGATACAGCGCCTTATCAGGTCTTCGAAATGTCTCAAAGCTTCACAGGATATACTGTAAAGTGAACTATATATTTTGTGGGCTGAATGTGGCAGTGTCCTACAAACATAGTCGGGGATTATTACCCCCAGAAAAACGAACCGTCAATCGACTAACAACCTACTTACTGGTAGGTAAACAGTATCGTTTCTTCGAGACGCCTTCGCAGGATACACTGTAAAGTGGATCGACTGTGTATTTTGTGGGCGAAACGCTGGAGCCCATTGCGCACAGCAACGTCCCATGGAGTGAGTGATTAATTTTATTTGATGGATTGTCGGCCAAAATACCAGGAGAGAGAGAGAGGGGGAGAGAGGGAGAGAAAAACTCCCTTCTCTTTACCAACAGCGTCCCTGGATTTTTAACGTCAACCTGATGGGACCTCGGTTTAACAACAACTTGCACTGATATCAAACCCTCCGTGCGGGCGAGTTTCTCGAAGAGCTTGGTATCGTCCGAAGGACAACAGCAGCAGCAACAACAAAATCACCTTTGCTTCGCGCCTTTCACGTCGGGGGGACAAACCACAACAAGTGACATTTACGCAGCTAGTAACAATAATAATTCATAGTAATAATCCTTGCGATTGAGTAATAAGTAATAATCCTTATCGCATGGTCGATTCGTCTCAAGGGGCCGCTGTGGTACTTACCGGTGGAGTAGGGGTCTGGCTTGGGCTGTCGGGGCGAGTGGTGGTGCTGGATGACTTGCTGGGGTTTGGCTTGCTGTGGAGGCTGGTGAGGCTGGTGATGCGGGGGTGGCTGTGGCTGCTGTTGGGGTGGGGGCGGCTGCAAGTGAGCGGGGAACTGCATGGCCTGCATGTGGAGCTGCCGCTGCTGAAGCTGCTGCTGTTGTTGCTGCTGCTGCTGCTGCTGCTGGACCTGTGGCTGGGGTTGGGGCTGGGGAGAGGGCTGAGGGTGGGGTTGGGGATGGGGCTGGGGGTGGGGATGAGGGTGGGGGTGAGGGTGGGTGTGTGGCGGAGGCTGGGGGTGAGGCGGAGGCTGGGGGTGTTGGGGCGGCTGGGGGTGTGGCGGGGGCTGGGGGTGGGGGTGGGGGTGGGGGAGAGGCGGGGGCTGGCTGTGGGGGAGGGGCTGGCTGGCGGTCTGCACCGTCGAGAGGAGCGGGGTCTGGTTCTGCACCTTCTGCAGGTGCTGAAGGTACAGGTGCATCTGACTGGGTTGGAGCGGGAGGGTGTGGCGGGGATTGAGGGGCTCCTCTTCCTCCAGGAGGGCCGGGGGCTGCAGTAAAGGCTGCGGGACCAGCGGGGGGGAGGGAGCGAGGGGACGAGGGGGTTTGGGAGGTAATGGGGCGGCTTTCCCGCTGGGTCTCGAGGGCTGTTGAGGCAGACTGCTGTGCAAAGCTGCAAGAGAACGGTTACAAACAAGCGTCAGACAGACAACCGTACGTTGTGTGTAAAAGAAATTGCCTCGATGATGATGATGATGATGATAATTATCGCCCCGCATTTGACGCAGCCCCTTATCACGCCGTCGAGACATCTCAAAGCGCTTCGCAGGATATACTGCCAAGCGTCTGTTTTGTGGGCGAAACGCGCCAGCCCAATTCCGCGCGGCGACTTACCACAAACGGTGGTGGATTGAGTGACTTTTTTTTAAGAGAGGTAGAGGGATTATTATCCCCGGAAAACGGTCCATCCGCCAATCGACTGACAACCAGCTTCCTACTTGCTGCTGTTAAACAAAGGTGAGCGCGTGTGTGTGTGTGTGTGTGTATGTGTGTGCGTGCGTAATAATAAAAGTTTTGCCCTGTCCCGCTCGGGAATCAAGGCGAGGCGAGTGCTCTAACCACTGAGCTACAGGGACTCGTCGCAGCTTTGTACAAACCCAATGTACTATCCACAATGGGGAAGCCCAATTTTTAAGCGATCTCCACGCTCTGAACGCTCGAGGATTTCACCCCCCGAACGTCATAGACTGTTCAGCGCTGCGAGGCCGCTTGCGAGGCAAGAGCGCTAACCGCAAGCTCCGGAGAGGAGACGAGGAGAACTTATTTCTTTTTTTTTAAGCAGAAAGTTGTTACGGTCTGGCTCGCACTGCCTGAAAAGGTGGTGGAAACAGATTTAATAACAATTTTCAATAGAGAATTAAGTAGGTACTTGAAAAGGAAAAAAATTGCAAGGATATGGTAGGGAGCACAGGGGGAATGGGACTGATTGGGTAACTCTTAAGAATCAGCACAGGTACGATGGGCCGAACGGCCTCCTTCTGTCCTGTAATATTTTATGATAATAATAATCCTTGTATTTGATATTGCGCCTTATGTCTTTGAGATGTCTCAACACTTCACAGAATATACTGTAAAGTGAATTGATTGAGACTTGTAAGCAAAATAGAAGCTCACGGCATTAAAGGGACAGTGGCAGCGGATACAGAACTGACTGGGAGACAGGAAGAGGAGAGTGGTGGTGAACAGTTGTTTTTCTGAATGGAGGGAAGTGTACAGTAGTGTCCCCCAGAGGTTGGTATTGGGCCCACTGCTGTTTTGGATCTATATAAATGACCTGACTTGGGTATAGGGAGTACAATTTCCAAGTTTGCAGATGATACTAAGCTGGAAAAGCAGTAAACAGTGAGGAGGACAGTATCCCCCAACTTCCCCCAACCCATCCCCACTCCTCACCCCGAGTAAACCCACTGACCTGGGGGAGCCACTACCGAATGCTGGCTGAGGTGGGGAGGGGAGTGCTGGTCGGGGGGCCCTGGCAGGTGGGATGCGAGCTCGCTCTGGTGGGGAAGGTGCATCAGAGGCTGCCCGAAGTGAGGCATGGCGTCGTAGGCGTTTGTCAGTATCTGGGGCTCCATCACCGGCAGCGACGTGGGTACGAACTGCGGCGACGGAGGCTTCAGTGGCTGTGCTGTCTGGTGGTGGTGATGGTGATGGTGCTGCCGGGAAACACACACACACGCAGGTTAATCGCCTTACTGATCACCCGCATTTACATCACCGACAGCAGCGGATGACATCTTACACGGCGCGGCTCGCGTCGCGAGCACGTCCCAAGGCGCTGGACGGACAGTTTGATGCAGCGCCTTGTCATGTGGTTGAGACCCCTTAAAGCGCTTCACGGAATATAGTGCAAAGTGGAGTGACTGTGCATTTTGCCTCCCTCCAGAGAGAGAGAGAGAGAGAGAGAGGGAGAGGGAGAGAGAGAGAGAGCGCATTCCATTCCAACAATCTATCTCTGGGATTTCCACGTGTGGGTGGGATGCGGGGAATTCTCAGCGGGTTTGGATGCTCTTAAGCAACGACGATGGGTTTCTGCGTGTGTCGGACCCCTGGCTGACCAGGAAAAACATATCGCACCAAACGATTCCCTCAGCAACCCAAATTGTAATCGAACGCCACATCCCCCTCCCTCTCTCCACCCTTACCCCCAACACCAACACACACGCAGTTGCCCCCCCCCCCCAATCACCCCCTCGCTCTCTTTATTCCTACCTTCTTTTGCTCCCGTCCTGAGCGAGTCTTGTGGCTGCCGTGTTTGGGTTTGGATGGCATCTCTGCAGAAGAGAGTCGAGATTGAGATGCGTTGGCTGGCAAACAACCACATCATCTAATCCAAATAACTGTGTAAAGAGCAGCTCCAGAAACACGTAAAGAGACACGTGAACACACAAACACATGCACGCACTTGCACAGACACATTTGCACGGATGCACACTTGAGGGCACACACACAAACTGGTGCGCGTGTGCACACACACACTTACACGAGTGCATGTACACACTTGCGTGGCACACACAAACGTAGCTCTAAACGCAGGCTCTACCTCTGCATATGTGACCTCCTTTTACCTCAGGGGTGAAAACACAGTACTCAAAACCGGAGGCTTCAAGTAGCGTAATTTACCACAAAGCAGATATGCGTAACGATAATCCTCGCATTTGATACAGCGTCTTATCAAGTCTCCGAGACGTCTCAAAGCGCTTCACAGAATATACCGTAAAGTGAATTGACTATATTTTGTGGGCAAAACGCAGCAGCCAAACAGTTGTGGATTGAAGTGACCAAACTATTTTTTTTGGGAGGGATTTTTAATCCCGGAAAGCGATCTTTCGGTCTTCGCGTCGCGTCTTCGAAACGTCTCAAACCTTCTGTCATCGACCTGAAACGTTAACTCTCTCCATAGATGCTGCCTGACCTGCTGCGTGTTCCCAGTGACTTCCGTTTTTATTTAAGGCATTGGTGGGACTGGGTTCAGTTTGGACGCGCTTAACCAATGGGGGACATTCTCCGCTGCTCCCAACCAAGTAGGAACCGTTCACAACAAGGAAACCAGATGAGGCGCACTCCACTTTGTCCTTCAGCTGAGGAACAGAGAGCAGGAAGGTCCCGAGTTTGAGCTCAGGCAGGACATCAATTGGTCCCAGCGTTGGGCTGAGTCAAGGGGATAAACAGCAACCAGGGTTCCCACACCTGCGCGCTTTCCAACCACCTCCCTGCTCGGAGGTGCCTAAGGGTGGACGCTGGGCTTTGTCCACTTGCCAGGGTTCAATCACTCCCCAAATGTGGGCGATTGTTAACAAAACCACCAACAACAACTTGCACTTACACAGCGCCCCCCCTCACGCAGGGTAGCGTCCCAGAGCGCTCGACAGTGGCGGAGGGAGGTGACTGTAGGCACAGTCCCAAGAGGAAGGTCTTCAGGCACGGCCTGAAGTTAGGCAACGAAGGGGCAACGCACAGGGATAGAGTTTCAGGGCGTAGTGGCTGAAAGTGCGGCTTACGATGGCGGAAGAGAGGGCAAAGGGGACAGGCACGTAAATCCGTATCCTATCACTCTACAGGGCCTTAACTGTTCTGTTACAGACTTGCGTTGAGTGAAAATCTATCCAGATTTACACCAATCTACTTCGGACTGGGTGTTTCACATGGCAGCAGTGGTCGCTTATATCATATCTATTGAACTGTGATAACTATTTGATGGGTGTACGAAAAAAGGAATACCAAGATTTATTAAAGGCAATTCAAAGTGCTTGGTTCAATGCATGTCCAGCCAACGTTCCATTTGACGGTTGAAGTGCATCTACAAATAATAATAATAACCGTTGCATTTGATACAGCGCCTCATCTCATCTTCGAGACGTCTCAAAGCGCTTCACACAATATACTGTAAAGTGAATTGACTGTATATTTTGTCGGTGAAACGCCAATTGCGCACAGCAGCGTCGCCACAAACAGCAGTGGATTGAGTGACCAGGTTTTGGGGTTTTTTTTGGTTTTATTAAAAGGGATTAATACCACCGGAAAAGCAATCGGCCGATCAACTAACTACCGGGTTCCTACTTACTGCTACGCAAACAGAGACTTGTGGAGTAAGGAAATTTACTCAACGTTTCGTCCAGTCGGGAATCAAAACCAGGTCCTCTCGCTTGCGATGCGAGTGCTCTAACCACTGAGCTACAAAGTGATCCCTCTCAACATAATCCAATGTGGTTTCTTGTAATTAACAGTCTGGTTAAGCAGCGCGCCCGTCTACTTACTGGCACAAGAGAACGACAATCCTATCAATTAAAGCTATCAGTGCAAACAAGAGACTCGAGGGCGACAGACAAAGCAACACTTGGGAGATATCACCTTGTCTACACTCGGTTTACTGACCACAATAATAACAATAATAAAAACACACACAAAATAACCCATTTGATGAAAACACAATATGAAAAACACAAAAATAATCCATATAATCCATACGAATAATACTGATCCTTGCATTTGATTTAATTAGCGCCTTATCACGTCTTCGTGACGTCTCTCAAAGCGCTTCACAGGCTATATCGTAAAGAGGAGTAGCTGTATATTTTGTGGACAAAACACAGCAGCCAATTGCCCGCAGTAGGGTCCCACAAACAGTCGTGGATTTCAGGGTGATTTCAGCGCTCTATTTGACTGGAATGTGAGGACGAGCCCGATGCAAGTCGATCAACAGCACCATCTTAGCATCATCCCGTTACATACAGAAACCGTTCAGCAATCGCCTGATTGAGCAAACTATTGCTCGTCTCACACAGAACTGCTTTAAAATCGCCGGGGCCCTTTCAAAAGGAAGCGGTGAGGAATGCAAGTGGGGGTGAACGTTCATTCAAGTGGGTTTTGAACGCACGGACACAGATCGGGGCCAATTCAGCGAACGGGGCAAGGCGTGGCAGGTTTAGTGCAATGCGAACAGGTAATGGATTTTCAAACAAGAAACCCTATTCATTCACACACCATGAGGGGCTGCCCCAAAGTTAGAGAAATCGGGATGCGAGTAGTGAATATTCACTGAATCACCGGCTGGACCTGGACGGGCAGACCAGTCACTGGGGGTAGACATCATCCCCCTCAGCTCCTGTTAACACCGCAGCCAAAGCCCTAATGGGGAGGGTGGTCCCAACTGGACAATCAGCAGGAGAGCTGGCCAGACAGTGATTGATATCAATCCCAAACTATGCAGCTTTAGCTGGTTAGACTCCAGCAGATACTCCAACGCACACACTGCGCTCCCCCCCCACCCCAAGCCTTGGCTCTTGCCAACCTGCGCCTAATACTCTCCGGAATTAGGTAAGCAGCATGTATCTCTCCAGGGAGGGAGGGAGGGAGAGCACATCCCATTCCAACAATCTATCTCTGGGATTCCTATGTGTTGGTGGAACACTGGGAATTCTCCGTTTGGTGACTCTTGAGCAACGGTGATGGGTTTCCATGTGTGTCAGACACCCGAACTGTCCTCCTCCCCCAAAAAGGCCTTCAGAATGGGACAGAAATGCACCGGATACACCGACTTAGGGCAGTGAGAGAAAAACTGAGACGCAAGGCGGGCAGGTGAAATGAATGTGTGGAATCTTAAAGGTCAGGTGTAGCGTTAGCATTAGAGGCACCATTTATTTTAGGGTTCAGGGATTCTGCGCTTTTCTCCCAGAGGGTAGAGTGAAGTCTACATTTCGTAGCCTTGAGGGAACAAGCTTAATGGGTCAAATCCGCCAATTAACTAACAACTAGGGTCCTACTTACTGCAAGGTAAACAGAGACGTGTGGAGTGAGGTAACTTGCCTAACATTTTGCCCTGCCCGGGAATCAAACCCAGGTCTTCTCGCTCGGTGAAGCGAGCGCTCTAACCACTGAGCTACAGGACTCCACAGTCCCTCCATCCCTTCAATCCTTCTGGGTGCCCTCCTCTGCATCCTCTCAATCGCTGCAAATGGTTTCCTCTTGCGAAAGATACTTGCACAGACGAGTATAATGGTCAGCCGAGGTGAACCCAGCACTGCATCCTCATCACTCACTGCAACAAGGTGACCTGGAAACCGATACTCACGGGCTGTTGACAAGTGAGTTAACAAGAGAGCTGGGCCAGCACCATTCACTCATGTACTGATCGTCACTCCAAGCCATTACGGTGAAGAGTTATGGCGTTTTGAGCAACACTGAGAACACAAGAGGCGTGGTGCTAGGCGAAAGAAGGCCAAAATCCATCTAGTTTGCCTTTCACCATCCTGGCAGTCACTTGGGAGTCTCAATTCAACTATATATAACAATCCTTGCATTTGTTACGGCACCTTATCACATCACGTCATTTAGACGTCTCTAAACGCTTCACAGAATATATTGTACAGTGGATTGACTGTGTATTTTATGCGCGTACGGCAGTGTCCCACAAACAGAGATGGATCGAGTGAACAGTTTTTTTTTGAGGAATGATTACCCCCGGAAAGCGATCAGCCAATCAACTACCAACCGGGTTCCAATTTACTGCTCGGTAAATAGTGGCGTGTGGAGTAAGGAAACTTGCCTACGGTTTCACCCTGCCTGGGAATCTAACCCAGGCCCTCTCGTTTGCGAGGCGAGTGCTCTAACCACGACTCTACGGGACAAGACAACACTGCCACTTCGTTGCTGGCAAAACAGAAAACGTTTTCTATTAAACCCGACGTGAAGTACTGCAACACCACGCAAGGATTTAGCAGTGAGTTGTCATGGATTTCACCAAATTTGCTTGCAGATATAGGACCGCTACCTTCAAAGGAACATTAGTACTGGGTTCACATAAGGCCACCATCCCACTCAACAGGAAAGGAACAAGTCTGCGGGTGTTATGGTGAGCACTCCAACTCCAAAGGGTTTCCCAGCTTACCTTTGTTCTAAAATTGCTTCCATCCACAAGATTCAAATAGCTCAGCAGTTCCTGGCAGGGTATGTTTTGTGCTTCGTCGAGATGCAGTGTGTGCGTGAGTGAGTGCAAGTGGAGAGGGGGAATGCCTTTTCAAATCCCTTCAGGCCCTGGCACCCCCCCACCCCACCACCACCACCTCTCCGACCTGCTTACTCCTCAACCTGCTGCCTCGGCTCGACTGGCTCCGACCACCTGCTTGTCCCTCGTGCCTTCCGTCCCACCATTGGTGGCCACACTGTCAGCCGCTACTCCCCGAAACCCTGGAACGCTCTTCCTCTATCCCTCTGCCTTGCCCCTTCCTTCCCCATCTTCAGGTCGCACCTGAAGACCTTCCTATTCCACCGCGCC